GCTACATCCGCTGATTTTCGGGCCGGACCTTTTATACTAATCCGAAGTCGGAACGCACACAAACACACTCCTTGCAAACGTTCGCAGTTATCTCGGTATCTCCAATTCCAACTGCCTCCGTGTTGAATCTCACGCCGGCACACCAAAACCACCTGAGTTTACTTCTCCGGGACTCACTGAGTCAAATGGGAGGCGAGTTGCGTTACGAGATCGAGCAAAACGCGTACATCAAGCTGGTCCTCCATGCTCTGAAGCACAAGACCTCCGCCGTCAATGGCGTCCTCCTCGGCCGCTTCTCCGGCGAGGACACATCCAACCCGGTCGTCGAAGTTGTCGACTCCGTCCCTCTGTTCCACTCCCAGATCGGCCTTCTTCCTCCTCTTGAAATTGCCCTAATTATGGTCAGTTCTCAAATCTACACTCTCTGTAACTCCTATAAGTTTAGATTCGATCTCAGGGTTTTCAACTTACTGTATTTATTGGGTGTTTAATTGTGATAGATAGAGGAGTATTATGCTTCTCAAGGTTTGAGTATTGTTGGTTATTTTCACGCCAATGAGAGATTCGATGATTTCGAGCTTGGTAATGTCGCTAAGAATATTGGTGATCACATTAATCGATATTTCCCACAAGCTGCTCTTCTTTTGGTACGTTTTTTGGTTGATTTGATGCTTAAAATCAGTTTCTTTTGTATTGATTTTAATTTCTGTAAATTGTAGTTGACAATTTCTTTTATTGGTGTTGAACTGTTTAATTTCAGTTAGATAACAAAAAGCTGGAGGCTTTGGCAAAGGGGAAGGATCGGAATCCCGTGATGCAGGTGAGTTTTTACCCTTTTTACTATGGTTACTGTTCTATTTCGTACCGCAGACCCGCCATTACAGAGTCTACCCGGTAGGAGGCTGTTTTGATAATAGCAGAAATTGATTTGGTAAACTGAATTAATTGGAAGAGTAACTTCGTTTTGATATTCTAGTTTTGTCCTACAATCTGTTCATTCCGGATAATTTTGTGGCAATTTTAGCAGCACCATTTAGAAAGCCATCCTTTTGAAATTGTACTTGTACTGACCTATTAGGGTAGGAACCTTGGGACAAAGTTCACATATCTGGTGTCTTTTGGTTAAGACATGGTGTATTTATTATTGGTTTGTTGGATTTGCTGAATGGTATGCGTTGTTATTACCATGTGTTTTATTTGAACTACGGAACTCCACCTAATCAAAATGGTGTTGGCTATGCAGATTCTGTTTCCTTATTTGATGTATCAAGCAAGATGCTTGAAACAAGCAAATTGTGTATTTTCATCTTATGTGTGTACCTTTCACCGAGTCCAAGTCATTTCTTGCTTCACATTGATCTCATGCATGTAAGAAACGCTCTTATTAGATTTCATCTCTTTGTCCACTGTTGTCTGTCTTGGTTATGTAGTAGACCAAACATGTTTTCACTGTTGCTTAAAGTTGGCTGTCCTTCAAATAAAGATTGAAACTTTATTTGTTTTTCTCTTTGTTAACCAGCTTTACACGAAGGATGCAACTAGAAGTTGGAAGCTTGTTGGATCAGGTGGGGGCAACCAGCTGAGCATCAAGGAGCCATCAGCTAATATTCTCCTATTGGATTACATTTCATCCGAGAAATGGCAGGATATTGCAGATTTTGATAACCACCTTGATGACATTAGCAAGTAAGAGGCATACATCAATCTTTTGCCTCTCCATCCAATAATTTCAAAAGTATTACCATTGGCAATCGTGCTGTTGTTCATAAAGCTTGATGGATACTATTTTGCAATTTACTTTTCTCTTGACAGGGACTGGCTAAACTCAGAACTCTTCAAGTGATATTATTCACGGTTGTAAGCAATTTTGGTGCTGTTAACAAGTGGTGGTACCTGCTTATTCTTTTCTCAGTTGCTAATGCTGAGATTCTTGATGACCAACTGCCCACAGACAAAGCTAAAATGTAACCAAGATTAATCATGTGATCTTGAGATTGTAATTTTGGGGTGACTTTAGGTATTGTATCATTTAAATGATGTTTCCCCTAGGTATGACAATTTATTTGGATAGGAACTTGGAATTTTCTATGTTGAACCTTGAAGTTTCCAGGATCTGTGGTGGATTGATAAACTACTCTGTCTGAATGTTTTGCACCGTCTCTTCTGCTGTTGAATTGGACACAGAATAACTCAAATGAACATTAATTGTGTGATGACAGTTTGTGTTATTGGTCAACGCCATTCTAAGGATGAAAGTTATGTGATGATGGTCAACCTTGTGGTTGCATTTGCAACTTCTTGTAAGAATCGCCTCCGGATGGGGTGTAAAAAACATTGGCACACCTGTTTTACCTTTTGCTCTACAATGAGGAAGGGGTGTGGAACTGCTTGACATTTACGTAGTAGTGGAGCTTCACAAATGGCCTGGTGATGCACTTGAATGTCTGGAAGTTGATCATTTATATTCAGCAGCAAATTAGGCATACCTTGACTGGTTTCAATGCCAATACTTGAAATGCTAGTTCAACAAAATGATCAAAAGTACAATCTTTGTGCTGACCTATTTTGGACCAGTGTAACGAGGAGAAACTGTTTCTATGCTGAAATGTGGTAGGTAATGAATGAGAGATTTATGTTGTTGGACCTTGAAAGAAGATTTTATGTGTTCTGATAGTTATCGGATGAATCTAATTTCCTTTTTTTTCTTGGATGAATCTAATTTCCTTTTTCTTCTTTTCTTTTGGTAATTCAATCTAGTTACCACCGAGGCCACCGTAGCATTACCTCCCGAAGTGCTATTCACTGAAGATGTGAAGATTTTAGAAGAGAAGTGCAAACGGATGATTAGTGAGTAAGGTTCAAAATTTTGTTTCGGTGTATTTTAAAACGAAAATGTTTTGGTAATGTTTTTAAAATATTTTGGAAATAAGATGGAAATTTTAAAATTTATTTTCGAAACACTTGTCAAAATATATCCATATATAAGTCGAATTATGCCGAAATCTCAAAACTTATCGAAATACCTTAGAAATAGTTCAAAATATAGGAATTTTGTTATTCAATCAATAATTCGTTTCGAATTTTATAAAAATAAAAATGTTTCGACCGTCTTTATCGTCTTGAAATATAATTTAAATTAATTAAATGAACCTGAGGAAGTTTGAGTGTGAGATGCTTGCAAGTAAGTTAACGGATTGCTGAAAAACAATGTGGGGGTTTGCTTCCAATTTTGTTGTTGCTTCTTAGCAGATAATAAGGTCTGACAATTGTTACTTCTTAGCAGATCATAAGGTCTGACAATTGTTGCTTGTTAGCAGAACATAAGGTCTGACTTTTGTTGCTTCTTTGCTAAATAGACTGTAGCATGGTTGCGTGTGTTGAGAGCACACTGCTGTAAATTGTGGTTGTGATTGATACCTTTTATTCCTGACCTTTGATATTTTAAGATTGCGTTAATCTTATTCAATTAAGCTTGTGTTCTGTATAACCTGCCTCATTTGTTGGGCTTTTTATGAAACATTAGACTTCTCACTTGATTTTTCTAGTCGACAAAAAAAAAAATTTGGTGAACAATGAGAGGAACATCATATGATTGAACCTAATGTGGAATATGTATTCTTTCAATTTAAGTACGGATTTGTTCAATAGTCAAACCAAGCTCAACATATAAACTACGTTCAAACATCTCACTTCATGTTTCTAGTCTGAAAATAAATGAATTTGGTGAATAGTGAGGAACATTTTGCTTGAGGCACATTTATTGGATTGAACGCGACCGTATTTTCGTATGGTTGGAACCAATGTAATATCTGTATTCATTCAATTGAAGGACAGATTCATTTAATAGTCAAATCAAGGACAATATAAAAATGTATGCATTCAAACTTCTAATCCAAAAACCAATGAATTTGATATCTTGCTTGATGCACATCTATTAGGCTTAACCCTACCGTGTTTTTATATGATTGAAACTATTGTGATATCCATATTCATTCAACTTAAGTACGGATTGGTTTAGTAGTCAAACGAAGGACGACATCCAAATGTGTACATTCTCATTTAAATGACTTAAGCACATAAAACTCGATTTAATTGGTATGTCTAATTTGTGGGTAATTGCATGTCATGGTTAAACAAGAGGTAAGTTGTAAACTTGATTAATTATTTTTTGTACCCATAAAAAAAATTCAATTAGACGTAATATAGCTGACAAAAATATAGGTCTTGATGGTCCAAAATTGGTTAACAACCCTATCTATCCACAAGTCTAACTTTGGGCAACACAAGGATAGATTGCATCCACTCCATAAGATCATTGCATAACAAAGAAACATAAATGTGAAGCATTTGTCTATCCCATCAAAACAGAGCCTACGGGTGTCAACTTTAACGTATCGATATGAATTTGATATAAATCTAACACGATAATATTTTTAGAATTGATATAATTATTAAATATATATATATAATAAATAATTTAAATTAATATTTAACTCATAAAATATATTAAATAATTTTTGTTACGAGTCTTAACATAAATATAAATACGACATAAATAACAATAATAAAATATAAAAATATCGATATACGAAAGCTGTTTAACCTTTTCATTTTGGACCACCACAAGGGTGGCAAAAAGGACACCAGAGGTCATTTCCAAGTAGTTGGAGGCTTAAATGGAAAACTAAATAGTTCTAAGCATGACAGACAGGTTGGAGCCCCGAGAGGCCCACATGCTGAGTCAGACCTTGTGCTTCGGACAAACTAAAATCAATCAAATAATCGAACGTGAAGAAACGCTTTGACCCCTATTCTCTCTCTCTCTCTCTCCATTACCACTACATGGTAGCCCACAGACGCCCCAACTCTACCACCAAAATTTTGCTTCCTTTTCTCTTCTCTAATCTCTCTCTCTCTCTCTCTCTCCACCCATTTTAGGAGGAGGGTCACTCTCTTTATCTCTCTCTACCGCAGTGCTCTTTCTCTCAGCGGCTAAAGCAAACCCCCAAAGTTCTGGTCTTTGGAACCTCAGGTACTCTTTTCGACCTTCTTTTTCAATACTTTTGAAGTGGTCCTCTGATTGGTTCGCTGGGTTTTCTTCTCTATATCCTCGAACTTTGTCTTTTAGCCTCTGGGTCTTTGTGGATTTTGGATCCCTTGGTAGGGTTTCCATCGAAAGGGGTGGGCCTGTGCTCAAGATCTGTGTGCTTTTCATTGACTCGTCATTTTTTTTTCTTGTTTATCTTCGCAGGTTTTGGTCTTATCTTTTGCTATGTGGTGTTTGAACGCTATTGACAGTTGCAGTGAGACTACATTGATTGGGGTGATCTGATTGATTCCTTCAAGAATTCGCACTTTCTGTTCTACGATTGCTTTTCCTGGGAAGATCGATTCGCGTTGAGGTAGTGGCTGCGATGCTCGCTCTTGTTGAGTATCTAGATTCTTTTTCATGTATATAACATTTGATCTGGACGTGCTTGTAATTCTATGATTGCAACTTCTAGGTTTTCTTGAAAGATTTGTTTTTTTCTATTGGGTTTTGAAAGTTATACTTTTAATTATGGAATTTTGATCAACTGACCAGAGTCTTCAGTACTTTGATCTTTAGGTTTTTGAGCTCTTATGTATTTTGGTTTTGTTGATACTTGATGATGCTATTTGGTCTGGCTCTATGACCTTATCCCTAATTTGGTAGATTTTAGTGTTGATAAGAATTTAACCCCCTTGTTTTGCTTAAATCTTGTCACATGATATGTATAACCAGTTTCAGTGCTGCTTTCAAGACATTTCATCCTTTTTGTCCCCTCAATTTTCATCTTGGCATAGACCACTTGATAGTGATTCTTATATATTCAAGGCTCTGACTATTGTAGATACCTTGTTGGAGTTGGAGATGATAACATTTGGGACAGCCAGTGAAGGGGGTCGTGTACTGAACCTGGGAGCTGACTGATGGGTTTATCCAATCCGATTAATTTAACAAGTTTGCATTCCTTCCAATGGCCTCCAAATCTGTTATTAAAGGTTCTCTGGAAAAGCAGAGCAAAACAATTGGTAGTCAAACATTAGAAGGAAATTCTCGAAGGCCTTCACCTTTGCAGGTGTTCAAGACTAGTGTATCCGAGCCTGCCACCCCCAAAAAATTACCCTGCAGTGTTCAAGAAGTTCCTTCTAAGCAGGTTACCGTGGAAGCAATTGTAAACAAGAAGTCACAGGATTCTCGACAGAATGGATCTGCCAATTATTTAGCTGATCAATTAGATTTAAGCTTGTCTTTGGGTGATTCAAAAGCAGTGCCAATAGGTATAAATCCTGCAATAAGTGAAACAAAGGGCACACTTGAAGGTATAGCTGATCAGGACAAGAAAACGGCAGAGCCTAGAACTGTCAAGGATAGCTCAGTCTCTGCTAAGGTTAGTGATGGAACCAGCAGCTTTGCAAAAACCAGCAGAAGTGCCAAGGTTAGTGATCGGGCTGATTTCGTTGAGAGTGGCAAGAGCAGCATGTGTAGGGGTAGCACAAGTAGTGATGTAAGTGATGAGAGTACTTGTAGCAGCTTAAGTAGCAGTATTAACAGACCTCATAAAGCAAATGACTCAAGATGGGAGGCCATCCAAGCTGTCAGAGCAAAAGAGGGGATCCTAGGTTTGAGCCATTTCCGATTGCTGAAGAGGTTGGGCTGTGGGGACATTGGTAGTGTCTATCTTTCAGAGTTGAGTGGTACGAAGTGTTATTTTGCCATGAAGGTCATGGACAAAGCATCACTAGCAGGCCGTAAGAAGTTGCTCCGCGCTCAGACAGAAAGAGAGATACTGCAGTCTTTGGACCATCCCTTCCTTCCGACTTTATATTCCCATTTTGAGACAGACAAATTCTCATGCTTGGTGATGGAGTTCTGCCCAGGAGGTGACTTACATATGCTTAGGCAAAGGCAACCGGGAAAGCATTTTTCTGAACAAGCTGTGAAGTATGACTCTTGTCCCTGCTGATAATGTTAAAGTTGCTAAGATCTGCCAAAAATTGTGTTAACTCCTAAAGGATAATCAAGAATGTTATGTTCCTCTGGTCATCCTGCTTTAGAAATTTGTTGTTATCTAACTGTATTGTTGAAGTTCCACTGTCTGTTAGATTGCCTGTTAGGTTTCCCTTATTTTGTTTATCTTTCTGGAGTAGGTACATGGGATGACCATTCCTCCAAACAAAAGCATACCAGAGATCTGTTTTCCACTTTCCATATACTTCCCTGGACCTTTGGGTGTGGCCTTGTCTACATTTCCTCCTTCCATTTACTGTATAGCATTAGTATCCTCCAGGTTGTAATGAAGACCAATTCATTTCTCCCTAGGCAATACTTTTTGCCGGTGTTAGATTGTTACTTGCCATATTTTGACCTGTCTTATGGCTTTCTAACCAAGGAGACGTTTGGTTTTGGTGGTGGAATGCTGGCGTTTTGAGATTTGAAAAGCTTTTTGGCGTGAGTGCTTTATTGAGTAGAGTAATGCCTAAAATGTTTACACCAATACAGGACATCTGAATCAGAAGGTGGATAGGAACTTCCATGGAAGCAATACATATATAAAAACACATTTGGGCGGCGGTTTGATGCATCAATTGGTTAAAATTACTGAATGCAATCCTTTTTGGTATTAATGTTCAGTGAATTCATTTGACATTTCTAGTTTAGGTCAGTTTGTTAGTTAATTGGAGTGGAGTGCACATGAGTTAGTTTAGTTATAATTTTTACTTGACACTTTTCTTGCTAAGTTGTGAATTGCATCTTTTCCCCTCGTACGACAATATTTCTAGTTCTTCCAGGGTTGGACATTCCATTGTGATTTCTTTCTAATTTCAAAATGCAGGTTCTATGTGGCAGAGGTCCTCCTTGCTTTGGAATACCTCCACATGCTCGGGATTGTGTACCGTGACCTCAAGCCAGAAAACGTCCTTGTGAGGGAAGATGGACACATAATGCTCTCTGACTTTGACCTTTCCCTCCGCTGTGCTGTGAGCCCAACACTAGTCAAGTCGTCCTCCTTTGAGACTGAACCCCTACGGAAGAACCCTGTATATTGTGTCCAACCTGCTTGCATTGAGCCCTCTTGTATTCAGCCATCCTGTGTGGCTCCTACAACATGTTTTGGCCCTCGCCTCTTTTCAAGTAAATCCAAGAAAGATCGGAAACCAAAAAATGAAATTGGAAACCAAGTTAGCCCATTGCCAGAGCTTATTGCAGAGCCAACAGGGGCACGGTCAATGTCCTTTGTTGGGACCCACGAGTACTTGGCCCCTGAAATCATCAAAGGTGAGGGGCATGGCAGTGCTGTGGACTGGTGGACTTTTGGAATCTTTTTGTATGAATTATTGTTCGGCAAGACTCCCTTCAAGGGATCTGGGAACCGGGCCACCCTTTTCAACGTTGTGGGTCAGCCACTTCGATTCCCAGAATCACCTGTTGTCGGGTTTTCAGCGAGGGATCTTATAAGAGGCTTGTTAGTAAAAGAGCCACAGCACAGGTTGGCATACAAGCGAGGTGCAACAGAGATAAAACAACATCCCTTCTTTGATGGTGTAAACTGGGCATTGATTCGTTGTGCAAGTCCTCCAGAGATCCCAAAGCCAGTTGAGGTTGAGCGCATTCCAGCCCCACCAGCATCTAGTAGTGAGAAAGCTACTGTTGGAGCCACCCCCAATCAGAAAAGCTCTGATAATTATCTCGAATTCGATTTCTTTTAGCTATTTCCATAATGTGATTTGCTATTATTGTTTTCATTCAAGAAGAAATATAGGGTTCCTGAAAATTCCTAAACCGACGGAATTCAGGGTTCTTGTACCAGTAGTTGATGGGCATATTGTTGTTTGTTGTTGTTTTAAACAGCTCCAAATTTGTTGTATTGCAAAAGCTGATGTGTTTGATGCTGTCAATGCATAATCTGAATTCTGACCATTGGTCATTTAACGCAATGATCAAAGAGTATACCTTTCGGTGTTTTTTCTGTTAGCAGGGAATGTTTCATGGACACCATATCGAGATGAATAGGCGACATTAGTTTGATTCTCAGGGTACATGCTTAACCCTTCCTATTCTTCAACTGTTCGATATGTTCTGGTTTTGATTTCCATGTAGATGAGATATGTAAACAGCCGTTGCATGAATGAATCGCCGAGATAGGTCAAGATTCAAACTCGGCCATATCATGGATTTGGAGGATGATTAAGTATTTTTTTTTTAATTTTTTATTTTTGGCACATGGAATGAATATGCAGATAGGCCCTTCACATATTCATCAAGAACATTGATCATCACCACCATCACACGGCTATTTGCAAGGTATTTTACCGCACCTATATCGGGACCAAAATTAAGGTCTTATTGCGTGATTTGGACGTTGAAGAATAAAGTTTAGCTCCAACAAATTGCTGTAATTATAAAAATTTTAACTTAAACATTAAGCGAGGAATTCCGAAATTTAGCAAAAAGGCTGAGGACCCAAAACAAAGAAGAAGATTTTGATAATGATGATCTGTAGTCTGAAAACTTGGGTTTGTGTGTGTGTGTGTGTGTGAGAGAGAGAGAGAGAGGGGGGGGGGGGGCGGAACTTGTTCAGACAGGCCTGCCAACCCTCATGTGTTTGTGGAATTGACGCTGTGAAGGAATTTCCATAGACCAGGCAATTGGGTAGCAAAAATGCGGTGAGCGTGGATCGAACACGCGACCTTCAGATCTTCAGTCTGACGCTCTCCCAACTGAGCTATCCCCGCAGATGTCCCTATGACAAGTAACAATTTAATTTATCTTGTATTTTTTTTTCCTTCCATAATAATAAACTCATGGTAAGACTTTTGTTGCAGAAGTGAAGGTTTGAGAAGGTCGTATAAAAGCATATTATTAGTTGGCATCAGGATATTCCCAACCCAATGCTTTGACAGCATAGTATGATCAGATCCACCACCACCATGTCTGTCTCCGCACTTAAAAACCTTGGATTATATGATGAATGTTTACATTCCATTTGTCAGTTCATCAATATCATATACATATAGAAAAGGACCAAAAGGTGGTGGTGGATGATATGTACATTAGGCCAGTATTTCACTCTCTTTTTTAAATCTCTCCTATTTCCAAAAGAATGATACTATACTTATCAAAACTTTTACCAAAAAATATTTTTAACAAACGAGTTGACATCTCCGTATCCAATTAAAAACATTTTGATCAGCATTTGGTGGGTCTAAGAGTGATCTGGAATTGTCAACTCATTTGGTAAAAAAAAAAATTTGGTAAAAATTTTGGTATGCATAGCATTTCCCTTATTAGTACTAGTCATAATCCGTGTCTGAAGGCACGATAAAATATAAAATTCTAGCGTTCAAAAAATCAATCTCACTATATTAAATAACAATTTTTTCTCCCTTTCATTTCTTTAATTACATTATTTAAAATTTATTTTTATATATTATTTTCTTAAAAATATTGACAAAATTTTCTCAAAATATGTAATTTGACAAAATTTTCACAACACGTGTAGATTATTGTGTATGGATAATCTCTGAAATAAAAATAATGTTGAACTATAAATTAATTAAATATTAAATGATTAAACATGTGATAAAAATTAATGATGTGATATTTTTGAAGGCACATTCCTATACTCACATTTGTGTGTGCATGTGTGTGTTTTTTTCTCTATATCGAGATAGATCTAAAATAGCCCAAAATGAGAATGTAAGAAACAAAGATCTTAGTTTAGCACAAGATTCTCTCTAGCGTGATGAACTTTGGTTCTCAATTATGGAGTTGATTGAGAGCAATTGAACAAAATAATGGTGAATTATTTGAGCATCTTTCAAGTGTGGCGGCATGCTAAACATCATGTTTTCTTTGGCATTATGCTTTTTTTTTTTTTTTTTAATATTCTGTCCCCTTGATCAATCCATGCCAATTCTAATATGCCTGAGAGGAGTGACATCCAATGAGATGACATCAATGATCAAAAAAAAATATTTATGAATATTTTTATTATTGTTATATTATTTAAAACAATAATAAAAATAATAATCACAATAGTAGTAAAACACCCTCAAATGTGATTAGATCACCCATAAAAGTGATAATTTTTTTTTGTACGAAGAAAAGTGGTAAAAATAGTTACCACAATAGTGATAAAAATATTTACAAAAGTGACAAAAATACTAAAAAAATGTGGTAAATTACCCATAAAAATGATAAATTTTTTGGTTATAAAATAACCCACAAAAATTGTAAAAACACCCATTGAAGTAGTGAAATTTAGAGGTAAGGTACTGATTTTTTTTTTTCGATACCGTAGTCTAGTCCGAAAAAGTTTTGTGCATCTTATTCATTATGGTTGGAGGGTTTAATTATGGTATTGAAAAATAATTTTGGAGTACCTTTTTTATATTTTTCATCAAATAAAAATATGTTACTGTAAAGTTTTTTAAGTTTATTATTATTTATTAATTTATCATCTTTTCAATCAGTAGTTGAAAATCATCCAAATTAAAATTGATAGATGCAGATGGATTTCAGTACGGCGCCGAATCAGTACCTTAGCCATCTCCAAGGGAGGGCCAGGTGGTCTATCAAAAGGGCTAAACGGTGTAAAACTTTTGAAGTGGAAGGACAGGTGTTGTTGGTGTTGTAGAAAGAATGTTGAATGCGTCACAGAAAGGAAAGCATACTTTTGCAGTGTGTGATGTTAAATGGTATAACTTTAGCTGTCAGAATGGCATTGTCTGACATCATGCTTTCCAATATATTACACAAATATGTTTTGAGAATAATTTAGGAATTTAATGTGACAAAAGAATACTATTTTCTTTTTTTTTTTTGCTCCCTCAAATTCATGGGTAGGCCCTTAAGCTATGTTTAGATGACAGTAATTTTGGATAATAATTTTAATATGAATCTTAATTTGGTACCAATTACATTATTGGGAATGAATTTTGATTTTCATAGAAGATTATCGACAATAACCAAACAATTAATATACGATAACAATAGTATTTAATATACCCAGATATTTTTTTACCAAAAAATGAGATGTCGATTACAAATTAAGATTACTTTCATCCAAACTTGACCTTTGGTGAGAATGACACTGGTAGATCGATCCCAAGACTCCCTAGTCCTAACCCTTTATTTTCTAGGTTAAAAACATAATAATATTCAATTTTTTTTTTTATGTTAATGCTTCATATTTGAAGTCTTTATCCTGTGTTTGATTTTATTGCAAGGGCAAGTATAGGAACATCAACTACACAAAATGTATTATCTATTTTGGATTTGATCTCGATTCTTCGCTTCTTACCTTTTAAACTAAAAATCAGGTGTTCAAGTCTCGTAAGAGACATTTGTAGAGGTAACAAAAACTCCTTCGTAAAAGAACAAAAACTACGTACCATCTCCCTCCTATAAATGATCATCCGAGGGGAGTGAGAAAAAGTTTGGCAATTTCTTCATCTTAACACATCTTGAACAGGAATTCAAGGCGTTAAGTAGTGATGAGACTTTTCTAAAATACTCTATGATGAAGACACGTGTCCTCGGTGTTTACTAAAACACTGTTGCTAAGATCAAGCACCATCGGCGCACAAAGGTCCTCGCCCCCGAGGTACTCGTCATATAGGATCATGCATTCAGTATGTTTTATAACCGACACGTGGCCTCGGTCTGATATGGTACCTCGGTCGGTATCCCTCCCTCGGTTCCGAGATCAGCCTCTCCTCGGTGCCGAGGTGTATCATCCTAGACGCCTCCTCTACTCCAGGATAAGCTATTGACGTACAGGTCATTAGCCTAGGCTAATCATCATGACCTCGTCTTACACGATTAGTGTCAGAACGTACTGGAATGCAGGGGCCACAGCCAATGAGGGATGGACGCGTGGCATATGATATCACATCGAAGACAGAGAAACCGCATGCCGTTGCTGACACGCGACTTGGGAAAACAAACTATTAATTACACAATTCCCTTGATGAGACCGCATTCAATGCGGTAAGGCTCGGAAATGAAAGGCAATAAATGCTCCTAATACAGAGCATTTATTGCATCCTCCCCGAGAGGAGTACATTGTACCGTCGGCGTCCCGATGACCCAACATTGATTGCTCGGGACCCCGAGCAGTTAAGAAGAGAAGACATTCCTCATCAGAATCAGTGCACACACTGCCTGTACCTAATGATCATCTACTGACTACACTGACAGCAATCATGAGCTTTTGAGATATAAATATTCCTTGCAAAAGGCGAGACGGGTATGCAACAAAAAACTCTTTACTATAATACTCACTCAAGGTTTTTCTCCTTCCTCTCTCTTTCTAAAAGACTGACTAGATCGTCGGAGGGGATACGTCGAAAAACACTCCAGCGCCCTTCTAACTTGTTCTTCTTTGTTCCAGGAACCTCTTTCAGCCTTACTGGATCGTTCTTCCGTTCCCAGGGTCTCCCATTGCCGTTTCAGGTTACCACCGAACTTCGCAGGCTGTTCCAAGCAGCGTGTTTGGTCACTCAACCGGCTCACTCGAGTTCACAAAGGGAGATATCTATTCTCGTTTTTTATATTGTGCAGGATCTTGCACGCACAATCTGGCGCCGTCTGTGGGAAACGACTAGTTTTCCTAATTTTTTCTCTATAAAGAACAGTGATCATG